CGTCGTGAGTCATAAGTTTGTTCTCCCTTGTTCGAAACAGCTAATGTGATTATGATGTAGCCCTGGGATTCCGCCGAGGTACGCAATCATCTACATGATACAGCAAGTCTTTACTGATCAAGGAATGACCATATCACAGTGAACTACATCGATCCCATGATCCATTCCCCAGGCCATTTGTACCGCTCGGTCTGCCAAATGCTTCCCGATCAGCGACGCCAAAGTGAATATACTTTCTTTCAGTTTCTCTCCAATGAACATATTGACAACTTCACAATGAATTTTCCCCCAGTCCTCGGTAAGCTTCATCAGATTCCACGTCCATCTAGAATTCATTGCCGCTTCATTACTTTGCTTTCTTATAGCCGCATGCGTTCACATGAGAACCTCCATCAAGTCTTTCCCTCTCATACACGAGCGCTTCCCCCACCAATTCCCCATGCAACGCGGCCCCCCCATCTCCCTACATGTCTCTACTCCCACCTCACCCTCTAATGTCTCAGCCTTCTCGTCCTCCACCACGTCCTCCGCCCATGCCTGTTCCACAATTTGTTTCAGACCCTGGCCTTCCATCCGGCGCTCGGCAGTCATTCAGGAATAATCATGGTCATGGTCATGGTCAGACCCACACTCAAGTTCAGTCTCACAGACAGGGGCATCATCACCATTCTCATTCGACTTCTGCCGTACCTCAAACCATTCGCCGCACCGCCTCGCAGCAGCAGCTCGGTTTCGCACCAACCGCTCAGCCTCCGTCCCACCCACCTCAGCGCACAAGCAGTTCCCACAACGTGCAGCACTCACGTTCTACACAACATCTACGTCCGCCGACGCCTCACGGTAATGGTCACCGATCGCGCGTAAACTCGGCAAGCAGCGCACATAGGCCTATCGTTCCTCCTCAGCAGCAGGTGCAGCCACATCTTCACCAACAGGTTGTGCACCATAATGGTCACGTTCATTTCCAATATTCAAAGTGCACCGGGCGGAAGAAAGCGCTCTGTGTGAGTAAAGAAATTGAGACCAATTGAAAACTTGAGTCGAGCGTCTTTTTCAGATTGGAATCAATTACAAAGGCCAACGAAAAGAGCTTCGAGGGTGCATCAACGATGTACGCAATGTGAAGCGGTTTTTGACATGTCTGTTGCTCTTTGTCCAATTCGGCGTCGTTTACTTATACTCGTACTCTAGCCAAGTGGAACTACAAAGAGGGCGATATTGTGACGTTGGTCGATGATGCCACCACTTCGAGGCAGATTCCAACAAGGCGAAACATTCTGGATGCAATGCGTTGGCTTGTGAAGGACGCCCAGCCCCATGATGCGCTATTTTTCCACTGTACGATATTTTCCCCAACTTGCGGGTGTATTTGAATGTACTCATTGTCGTTTAGACTCGGGCCACGGGGGACAGGTTCCAGATCAAGATGGGGATGAAGTTGATGGACTTGATGAAGGTAAGAAACATTCCCTTCTGCTCAGAACACCATCAGATTTCCTCGTGCAGTGATATACCCTGTCGACTACAAGAAGGCCGGAATAATTGTTGATGACGTGAGCCCTTCCCATTGTTAATCTGCCGTTAATGCTCATTATTCCGATGCAGGAAATGCACCGCATTATGGTACGCTTGCTGCGCGATGGGAGAAATACACTGATACGATGTTTCACAGGTGAAATCGTTGCCAACTGGCTGTCGTCTGACCGTAAGTCTGAACGTTATGGTACTTCCCTGTTCGGCTTAATGGAACTCCGTCTATTTAGGCTATCTTTGATGTAAGCTTTCCTTGGCACAGCGGGCATCAGACAAACCTAATCAGTTCCCTTAGTCTTGTCACTCAGGAACTGCACTGGGTAAGCACATCGTTCCGTAATGATAAAAGCTGACTGACCGCCCACTGCCAGATTTGCCATACGTTGTGAGCACGATACCGGACTTCTTCAGCCAGCAGGAGGACTAATTGTCTTGCAGTACCATCCTAATGGACGCCTCAAGGGAAGTCCCGTAACTCCTCAGGCTCAAGCACAGAAGGCCACAAGTGCCGACGTTGTAAGTGACCGCCTGACGTTATGAATCGTGCCGTACTTCTGCCACTGTCTAGATATCATTCGCTAGCTGTCGCGATGATCAAACAAGTGCTGATACGACACAGAGTGGTATAGCCGTTGGGGCTATGAGCTACGTGAGTAATTTTCTCTTTCAATATTGTCTGAGCTGACATGCATCGCCAATGACAGGCCTTTGTTACGTCTCTAGGTTGGTTTGGAGTTCTGCTTCTCGCTGCGTGAGACTGACTTGGCGAACAGCAAGGAAGCCAGTACAAAGCTATCAAGAACTGCTTAAGTCTGTTAGGGACATTCTGAAACAGGACTATAAACAGAAACCACAACTGTCGAGCTCGCATCCGATCGTAAGCACTTGCGGTTTGTAGTGTAATGGATTTAAGTTAACACCGCTTTTCAACAGGATACTAATCTACGCTTCATCATCTAGCGTTGGACGTTGTGCTGCGATATTCGTTTACAATTTATATGATATTGACTAATTTATTGGTGTAATACTACATATGTATCAGCCTTGGTCTCTCGTTAACAAGTGTATGTCTAACTTCTAGCAGTGAAAATGCACAAAATGGAGTCGGGTCTACTTTGGACTTTCCTCTTATGTTCCACCTTGAATATCAATATCGTTTTTGCTTGGCTCTCTCGCGTCTACAGTATTTCCAGCAATCAAACAAGCTGTCACTGGCAGATCTCAGATCCTACTGCTCTCCAATTATAGCTAGTTGGTCGCTAACAACTATTTGGAAGGAAATTGTATCTGCACATGGATATAAGTATAGTCAAGGTACAACTGACTACTGCTTAAAAATGAAAAAAAGATACATACAGCTACAATATTTCTAGGACCTTGATTCCGTCCATCATGTTTTGCCACGTCTTTGAGTTGTACAATGATGTCACGATCCAGCACGATCTTCTGTCTTTCTTTTGTCGATGTTTGCAGGAGTGCATACGTCCCCCAGTGATCCCACATCCACTAGGCTAGCGCTGGGACGGGACGTTTTGAGGCATGTAAACCGCCACTCACCATCATATATAGAAAGTAGAAACTAAGAGACGAGTCTCCGAGTCAGCGTTGTAGACAGAACCACTATGACATTAATAGTACCTAAGAGACGAGTCTGAAGACGAAACAATGTAAGTGAGAGACAGCGTGCAAAGAACATGAACTGTACCTCACCGTTGTAGACAGAACCGCTGAGGTACAAATAATGCGACGCAACGAGATTATATAGTACAGTACAGTATAGAGTCCGTGATAACAAACGAGGAAAAGGAATACAGAGTCGATGTTGAACATCCAACAATACAAATACAAATTCTCTACAGGGAGCTTATCGAGGAGAACGTGCTGTAGGACCATATATCCGTCACATAGTAGTGAAGAATGTATGGTTGGAGCTAGTTGCGTTATCAATCTATTCGAAACAGTGAGGATGCAAAAATGAGATACGAGAATTCAGTCGCACCGAATCCCGCAAGAGGCCAAGAACCAAGGCTAGACCTTCGAGATCCCGTCCCAGAGTGTATTCAGGAGAAGATAGGACTAGCCCAGTACCATCTGTGTGTCTTTCGTACACAAAGAATATCCACTGTTCTCCGCTGGTGACAACACCCCTGATGACAGATAAGCTATCATAAAGTTAGACTACGTCACGGAACATAGAACGACAAAGAGCTGACCCCTGAAATTGGCAATACGAAGCCGCAGCAATTGCAGCCTGAGACAGAGCGGCCCGAACGTTATCGCGCTGGGCTTCGAAGATGTTGGACGTCATTGGTCCCTTGATGTTTCCGGGATTCGCCAGTGCTGTGGTCGGATCGCCCAGGAGGTATTCTAAAGAATAGTTCAAAGTCATTCTAGCACGCGACAGAAAATAACTAACCGGTGTACCGAGCGGGGAGTTTAGTCACCAGGAAGTCGACGACGCCACTAAACGAACATTTGCCAGAGTCTCGGTTGAAGATCGTTCTAGGGATAGGGAATTCTGGAATTATGTTCACCGTCGTGTCACCCGCACACATGACCGATACAACTCTCAACAAGAGTATGTTGGTCAAGATGCGACATCCAGCTTTCGTCTTTGGAGTTTAAATGAATATACAGTCGATCATGGAAATCAACCACCGTAACATACCACCGTTGCGACGTGGCCGCGCACTAAACTTATCAGAAATCGTGCAGTATCAATCGGAAGACACCCTGATATTTCGGCCAATCCAAGGTTTTCGACTTCTTGCCTCTTGTCGCTGATCAGAAAAAGTGGACCAGACGATATCCTCAATGAAACGAGCGTTATTGGATCCACCTTAGAGAAGTAAGTGTGCTAAGGAGAGGCTGATCAGCTCTGTGAACAATTCAGCGTCATTCAACCTTCATCAACCTTAACGTCTTCCAATTTGTCACGCAGTTCTTGGAGTTTATCGATCAGACCAGCAGACAAATCCTTGTCTCCTTCATCAAGGTTGGAACGAAATTCCTGGAGCTTATGAAGCAATTCGTTTGTATCTCCTGCAGTTAGGTCTGAAAGCTTTCGTCGTTTGGAAATGGGAGGCATGATGTGCGATACACCGACAGATGCAAGAGACACAGATTGTTAGGGTTAATTGTGGCTCAAGTGCTCATGCGTGAGTTGAGGATCAAGTTACTTCACTCCAAACAGCAAATGAACTTTTTTCTTTCCTGTTACCAGTCATGTTAATTGGTCAAGCAAGGTTTCTGCCGACGCAGGCGGCACTTCCCGAGTACATCTAACTACCAATATTGTTCTAACTTTTCTAACATGTCTCAGATCTCATTCACGAAATGCGAAATACGAGTGACACCAGCGACTTAAGCGACTTGAGCGAGACTACCAGCGAACCTGAATCCATCATCAGCTTCAATGAGAACGTGTACTTCAACATGCAAAACGCTGCCGTATCCACTGTGACTTACGTGGGACAAGCTCGACAAACAATAGAGCAGCAAGCGACGAATGGATCGCAACTCCACCAAGCGTACACGACGTTGACGCATCCAGGGTTCTAGACGCGATGCTGAGGAACGCTCACGGGACCGGTGGCGAAACACCGAGCGTCATACTGCCTGTGCTATTTGCGCATGTCCTGAGATCCACGAGCAAGTCAATCTCGCGAGGACTTGGTTCATGTATCTGCTCTGGCCATGTAAGTTAGAACTTCGAGATGTCTGCCACGGACACTAACGCAAATTTTCACTGGTAGTCACAGCCGGAACCCACCAATCATCAGACTTGATTTCTAGTCAGGCCACGCCGACCATTGACGACACCTATGGCGGCCTTGTAAGTGCCAGTCCGGAACGGAGTAGCAGATTTAGGACCGATGTACGTCCTACCAGTTAGAAAGCAGCTTTGGCGTTAACTTCCAACAGGTTAATCGACGGGACGGTTATAGATGCGTTGTTTCAGGTGTCTGGGATGGACCACACGTTCCCGCCGGTGTCGATCAGGGTTTTGTAACCTTGATAGGAGCGCACATCCTGAAACGGGCTGTCGGGGTTTTCACCATGGACCGGGCTGCGGGCAAGGATTTCTCTGCTAGGTTATCATCAATTCTGACCTCAAGTTGGATTATGCAGGCACATACCGCGGCTGCAACGTGGAATATCATTCGGCATTAATCAGGAATGTCCGAAGAAACTATTCAAAACATGGAAAGGCTTGTAGACGACCCTTCCAATGGCATGATGCTTAGGCGCGACATCCACGATACTGTGTCGGTAGCTCTGGGATGCGTCTTCATCATACCGCCACAAATTGCAGAGACTACAGACACCCTTGAGCCTACAGAAGCGAAATGGAAATCTCTTGATTTAGTCGGTGTAAGCATTTTAACCGGTATGAATGTTCCAGCATACTCTACTTCGCATCGCTCACGAGCTGTGGTAGTTGCCTTGACCTTATTCATCTTCGCTGTGACATCCGGCTCCACAGATGGTTGGGCATCCGCAATAGTGTTGGTCCCACTCATTATCTCGCTTTCAATGGGGGTTGGGTTTTTTTACTGGGAAACACTTATGCCAGTGGAAAAAGCTGCAATGTACGTTATCGGGGATGCACCAATCACCAATCATGGCTCACCTTAGACCAGACCACTCCGGACATGGTTTTACCACAATTTCTCCGTTCTTTTCGCCGTCGCACTCTTGCCATTCTTTTGGTGGAGCACGGTGTTCACGATTTTTACTACCCTATGGCAAAATGTGTTTCACTGGTCGGTGATATCATCGGCTGTACACATGTAGGGTCCTCGCTGTCACTCCATGTTGCCCATCATTGATACGTAATTTTTTGCTCACCAGGTTCCCGATCGGTATCATAGCCCTCACTATGAGTTTCACCGGACCACTTTCTCGCATTTTCAGTCCGAAATGGATCATTCTCACTGGTCTGTCCTTGTGCATGGTTGCGACGGTATTGCTGGCACTCGGTGGAGGGAACCCCCAGGATTATTGGCCATATATCTTCCCAGCTTTTACTCTAGGAAGCGGAGGGGCTATGCTGGCCTATACACATACGAAGTAAGTTCTAAATCATGCCTTTATGAACGCATTTTAAGTGCTTCACAGCATTGCTATTTTTCAAGCTGCACCTTCATCCATGGCCGGCACAGTTGGTGCCATCTTTAATGGCGCGCTTCAATTTGGATCAGCTATTGGCCTCGCTGCTGTCAGCTCAATAGAGACATCCGTGGAAGCCACCTGTGGAGGTTCACTTGAGTACAGCGGTCGATCCGCGGCCTTTTGGTTCCTCGTTGGACTTGTCGCTCTTGAAATCATTTCAGTATCAATCTTCTACGACCGCAGTACGGATCACATGGCCCAACCAAAACGCAGCGACCCCGTACATGCTGCTCAACACAGCACACACTTTGACGAAAAGCTGAACGATGTAGAGGTGAAAAATATGGTATAGCGAGCGACAAAGCTGACCTGGCGGATTTACTTGTGTAGTTTCTATTTCTTTTGACGACTGTTCCTTTTGACGACCGTTTTTGTTGACGACTTGCAAGGTAGATGCGTTTTTCATTCGACTTTTGGGGTACGATTAGAGCATAGCAGACTTCATACAGTTTTTTCCCATACACTACACATCTGGCCATGGGTAGACCGGCAGACTGGTTCACGCACATTGCATACAATCAATCCGTTCGCGTTTGATTTGTATGGTGTAAAACATATCGGAGTAGACTACGTTGACCGTCTTTTTGCCTCGTTTGCAGAGGAAAAACTAGGGCGGGAGTTGCGAAGCGTGATGGAGAGCGGGTCCGAGTATGTAGTGTCAGTTGGTCGTGAGAGGAGGTAATTATCTCTGTCGTACGTGATATGAATAAACGATCTTCAAAAACGTCGTATGCGGTCGCGATCGTATTAAAACCGGTCGTCGAGATTCGAAGTGATGAAACAGGCACAAGTAGAAAAGGAGAAAGCGTTATGAACAGCCGTGAATCGCGGTCAGTGTCCGAGTCGTTATTAAATCTAAGTTGATTTGATTTGCTTGCTTGGCCATCAGTGAACCAGTGGACAAATTAGAACGACATATATAACATTATATAGCACGTACATAATGGCCAGCATCACAGTCGCACGGACAGCTCTTCATGCGCGGGGGTATGGCGAAGGCAAATATGACGTAGGGAAATATACAAGAGCCTGAGACAAGCTTTTCAGAAGCGGGTAGAGTAACCTCTTTCATAGATGCCAGAAAGCTGGGGTGGTTGGTGGGCTACGAAGAAAGAGGATGGTATTCATGAAGATGTCAGTAGAACAGACGCAGAAGACAGAACGGGAGAAGGAGAAGGACGGAATGAAGGGGGATTGGGATGCATTGTGAGTCGAGTCTGGCCGCCTGCCCGCTACATGCTGTCATTATGTGTAGTGATTCAACTGGGGACAGCTTGCAGCAAGGCGCATGGAAAGACGCGATCACGGAGTGACTCAGGCGTGTTTGCATCAACGACAGACCATGTCAAGGTGTGACCGATAAATCATATCATATCAGACAATGCGATAATGTTAGAACAACCAAAGACGACATCAGGAAAAGCCTCCTGAGACAAATTATATTAAATCACAGTAATGCTCAATAATGTCTAATTATTATCACACATTATTGGCCTTAGGCAAATTATGGCGCATAGAAGTACTTTTTTACCCCCTTGAAAATAATGTATAACTATCAAGAATTAGTTGATATTACGAGCAATCGCAGAAAGTATATGTTGAATTATGATGCACAAATCATGCGTTTCAGACGGTGTTACAAGAAAAAAGACTAGCATTTGATTAAAAGACGTATATAAAAACACGCGAACTAAGCTGCTAAAGACCAGGGTATGCGAAAAGGAGTGATCAACGAATCTGCACTATTTACGGGTATGGATCAGCACATACTAGAAGCTAATCCTCACCCATGCCATCAAGGTCGAGTAACGCCAATGCCTTTCGATGCTCATCAGCCAGATTATCACCACCCTTTCGTTTCAAGATCCTGCCAGTAGTGTCAATATCTAGCACCATGCACACCAGTAAAACTTACTGTACGGATTCATAAATGTCAGCCATCATGCAGTGAAACTTCTTAGGCACGTCCTCCTTCAAGCCCTCGAGGAACTTCACATAAAAGGTATATGTTTCACTGAGTTGATTCCCCATAAAGTTGAATTTCCCTGGAGAACCAAGCGTCTTCCAAAAAAGGGCTGCATAGATCTTGAAAATGAGTTAGTACTGCACAAAGACATAGATAGAAGGACATTACTGCTGTCGCAACCAGTGCCAGCAATGGCACAGGTATTTCGGGGCGATTGGCCTTGTTGCTCGCAATCTCGATGAAGTGCTCTGCAAATTTGACGCCGATGGACTTCGGGCCATTGAAGACTCCAGTATGTAATAGGAAGATCAGGAGTTCACCCTGGTAGGGTTTGTTTGCTCTAGGCGAGGGGTCATCATTGGACTGTCAAAGAAATAAAGAAAGTTAGTTCTGAGTGTGAAGATATTGGGTGCCAAAGAACGGTTGAACTTACATCAAACTTCAATGAATATGAATATGTGTGCTGCTCCATAAGGTTTTTTGCCTTCACTGCGCTCTGGCCGAGATGGAAGTAGCCGTCAATGTTGGCACATGCAACCTCTTTCAGATCACGGCGTAATAACGGGATGTGTGGCTCCACCTTGAGTAATTAAATGATAAGAAAAATTAGTGACGTGCATCAAAGGACTCGACTTACTAAACTACCAAGTTGAGTTGCATACTGCACATCTGCTTGAAGATGTTGTTTAATGGCGTGTGAGCCACATTTCTCCGCAACTGTAAGCAAAGACTGCAGGGCAACTTGGTTTTTGTCAACGAGCTCAGGATAAGCATTGATGAACATAAGGTGGCCCTTGGCTTCCACAATTGCATCCCGGACTACTCGCCGAGTCTCTTGGTTTTGATCAAGTAATTTCACCTTCCCAGTCTCTGTTTGAATGAGAGAAGCAATGCTCTGGGGTGCAGCAGAGGTGAGTGCAGTTCCTCCGATGTCACTGGAGTAGGGTTCCAAACCCCCACAAGTAGTAGTTCCATCGACAGACTCTGAAACAGCATTGTCAACGTCGTGCCAGGCTGGAATCTAGTAAATGTTCACTGGATGGTTGTCACTTGAGAACAGTTTAGTTTGGACTCACCTCTGCAGCTTGTTTGCGATCTCGAGCAGCCTGGGACTGCTTCGCCTTCATGTTACCTGAGTCAGTGACGAGCGAAGGGACCTTCAATTTCATTGAGTTATGGCTACCGCAGCTTAAGTAATCTCTCACTGACCTCATCAGAGAGCCTCATGGTGGTGGTCTCCGGTTCCTCACCTTCACTCTCCTCATGGTCAGCATCTGAATCATTGCTGTTCTTGCCGTCAACCTGTCCATCAGAGTTGAGCTCATCAGAGTTGAACAATGCACTGGCAGTTACATCCAGCATTGCGTATGTGCGACGGAGTTTGTTAGGTCGATACAAGCCTGCACACTACTGAGTAAGACTTCCTTTTGCGGTATCTAGATTTGAACCACTAACCTCGAGGTTTTTCAGGTTCGAAGTCCTCACTGGCGCTAGATTCACCTCCATGCTCCTTGTCCATGATGGTATGCTGACGCTCTGTCGTCGTATACCATAAAGTTAGTGATTGCTACTATGACTCGTAGAATTAGTGATTTACTCAGTTTTGAAGGCAGGTTCTTGTCACTGCGAGCGGTCACATCTGGAGGCAGATCCACTTTTGTGCACAGCGCAACCTCTGATCAAAGGTGAGTATTGAGTTCATGCACCGGAAAAAACACTTACTGTTGGTGCTGATTTTTTTCTGTTTCCCATAGTTGCTGCCAGGCGCCGAGCTTCCTAGTTGAGTTGACGGGGATGCTTGATGAACTTTTTTTGTTGATTTTGGCTTCCAAACTGCACTTACAGGTGAGTGTTAAATATTGACATTAGCATGGTCGCTCACCAGCATTTTCCATAGCTTTTGTCTTGGCGTTTCGCGCCTCTATCGAAACCCACAGACTTGTGAGAAGCTGCTGTCTCTGAGTCTGCTGGTAGCCACTCACCATGAGAGTTAATAGGTGCGGACATGGTATACTAGATTGAAAGGACAGGAAGTTAACTTGAAAACAGTAAAGGAATGTGAAGACGAGAGAGTGGGAGGAAGTTGGAAAGTTTGAGGGCACTGTTGGATTTTTAGTGCATTTCAGCAACGGAGGCAGTTCAACTTTACTGGCCCTGACTTTGGTTTTGGTGAGTTTTGGTGAGCTATTCTGAACATTTACCTCAGACTGACCCTCAAATATCTTAGTGTCGATTTACTAGCTTGCCCATTGCACCGGCATCCTGGATCTTGAGCTTGTGTGTTGCGTTGAAACCGGCACCCCATCTCTTAACAACTGTCTACGAGTCCTAGCCTGTGCTCTTAAGCAAAATGTCAACAAAATGCCCTGCTTGTGCCCGCGACAATCTTACAGTTATTGGTCTCAGTCAACATCTTGCAAAGAGCCGCAATCCACATTGTCAAGCACTGTACCGTCAATCACACTCCCAAATACCTCACACCAATTCGGAATTTGAACCTCTCAATGATCCAGATGAATTTATGTGGGCTCCCAAGCAAGCTGGCGAGGAGGGAGGCTATGACAAAGATGAGTTTGTGTTGGCTCCCCAGCAAGCTGGTGATGGCAACTTGGATGATGACGCACTAGATGATAGTTTGATTGTTGAACCTGAATGGGAGCCTCCAGTCGAGGAGCGAGAAGACCATGGCAGCATGGACGACCCAGTCACTGCTGAAGACTTGGCCGATGAAGCAGACCAGGAACATCAGCACCGTGCTCACAATAACATTCAAGCACGTGCACAAGGGCAATGCGGATGTACAGTTGTGCCGTACCCAGATCCATGCGCTGGTCAAAGAATAGCCAATCAAGCCAACTGTCATGCTGCTAATGTGGAATATGAAGCACATTTTGTTGATGTGGAGAAGGAGAACCTGTACCATCCTTTTTCTTCTAAGATGGATTGGGAGGTTGTGAGATGGGCAAAACTTTGTGGACTGAGTTTGACAGCATTTTCGGACTTGCTTGCAATTGACGGGGTAAGATATACCATTTGTTTTATGAGTGTCTATGTAATTAACAGCGAATAATCATAGGTCAGTGAATGCTTAGCACTCTCCTTCAAGAATGCCAATGAGCTGAACTCAATTATCGACCATGAGCTCCCAACCAGCCGCCCGAAGTTCAAACGGGAGCAGATCATTGTTGCTGGAGAAGCCTTTGATGTCTATTACCACAACGTGATTGAGTGTGTCAGGTCATTGTATAGTGATCCTGACTTTGCACAATATCTTGCATTTGCCCCCGAGCGGCACTATGCTGATGAGGATGAGACTATTTGTCTCTTTCATGATATGCATACCAGAAAATGGTGGTGGGGCACACAGGTATGGCTGATAGTGTCTAGTATGAGATGTGATACTTACAATACTTTAGAAAAAACTTGATCAGCACTGTCCGGGTGGGACCATCATTCCCATCATTATCTTGTCGGACAAAACACAAGTAACCTTGTTCCGCAATAAATCTGTCTATCCCGTCTATCTCACCATTGGCAACATCCCAAAAGAAATCCGATGCAAGCTGTCATGCGGGGCCCATATACTTCTGGCATATTTACCATCCACACGGCTCGAACATATCACCAACAAAGCTTCACACCGGCGAACTATGGCAAACTTATATCATGCATGCTTGAGCCGTGTTCTCGCTCCGCTGAAATCTGTTGGACTAGATGGACTTCATATGGCTAGTGGGGATGGCACTCTCCGCCGTTGTCATCTATTATTTGCCAGCTTCATTGGTGACTATCCAGAGCAGCTCCTTGCTACTGGGATCAAGTTCGGAGAGTGTCTGAAATGCGATATTGATGCTGATGAAATGGGTAGCAATACAGCACCGTTTCATTTATGAAAACTGAGTGAGGTGCTTGATGCCCTCGCTACTCTCGATGAAGGGAATCTATCCTTTGTTCATGCTTGCTTGGCAGTAGGCATCAAGCCTATTGTCCATCCTTTCTGGGAAGATCTCCCATTCGCCAATATTTTCCGCGCTATCACTCCAGACATTTTGCACCAATTATATCAAGGCTTGGTCAAACATCTGTTAGGATGGTTGTCAGCTGCTTGTGGGGCAGCAGAGATTGATGCTCATTGTCGGCGACTTCCACTGAACCATCATATCTGTCTGTTCAGCAAGGGCATCACTGGCTTGTCACGTATAAGCGGGACCGAACATGCACAAATCTGTCGCTTCCTCCTCAGTATCGTGATTGGCATTCGACTACCCAATAATCTAAATGGAAGCCGGCTTCTACGAGCAGTGCAGGGTCTACTCGACTTCCTCTATCTTGCACAATATCCGTGCCATAGCTCAGAGACCCTGCAGCTACTGATCGACGTGCTTGATCTTTTTCATGAGAACAAGGATATCTTCATTGAACTTGGTATCTGAAACCGTTTCAACTTACCGAAACTGCACGCCACACGCCACTACCCTCTCATGATTGCGATGTTTGGTACGACGGATAACTACAATACAGAGTATACTGAACGGCTTCACATTGATTATGCAAAGGACGCTTACTGTGCCACAAATCATAAAGATGAATTTGTGCAGATGACACACTGGCTCGAATGAAAGGAGAAGATTTTACACCACAAGAAGTACGTCAATTGGCGACTTACTGGTGATCACTGCTCGGAGCCATACCATTTGCGTCCCCCCGATATGACTTTCCGTCGGCTTCAAACTATGACGAAGCACCCTAGTGCAAAGGCTGTCAGTATAGATAAGCTGGTTGAAGACTACGGGGCTACCTATTTTCGCGAAGCACTCGCACGCTATATCGTACAACTCAACCATGCCAATGATCCTATCACCCTCAGTGGTCAAGCACTCGATGTGTTGGCACTCGATGTTCATTTCCCATTCTGAACTCTCCCCATTTTTCACAAGATTAAGTGGCTCTCAGTAGACGCTCGTCGTCACGGGGATGCAACAGTCACATTGGACTCTGTACATGCCAGACCACAACGGAACTCAGGTTCTCAGAGTCCACTGGCTCGCCGTTCAGATACGGCTCTTGTGGGCCTTGGTCCAGACACAAATGATGTCGTTAGCGCCGGTACCGAAGGTACGTTTAGCTGTCTCTGTTCGTCAAGGTTACACATCACTCATGGTTGACCGAGTCTAGGTTTCCGTGTTGGGCAAGTACGAGCTATCTTCGCGTTACCATCAAAATCAATACCGCTCCTCTTTCCGCCAACAATCTGGGTTCCCAACCACCTAGCTTATATTGAATGGTTCACACCATTCCCGCCTGCTCCTGATCGACACCATGGACTTTACAAGCTCTCGCGATCCCTGCATGGTGGTGAAAAAGTGGCAAGTGTTGTCCCAGTGGCGAACATTGTTCGTAGTGTCCATCTCATACCGGATTTTGGTGCTGTCGTCCCACGAGAGTGGACAAGTGATACTGTTCTAGATGATTGTCATACTTTTTGGCTGAACTTGTATTTAGATAGATATACTTTTTGTATCTTCAAATAACTGATTTTTTGCGATAATCATATCATACATTATCGTCTCTTTAGTGGCTTTATTCCTGATACTCATAATACCAGACTATTTGATAAAATCACAACATTTTTCGAAAATTATCATGATTTTGGCTCAGGAGGGTTTTCCTGATGGATTGTACAAGCGTCGCATGTTTCGTGCATGCAATACAGGAGTCCAATGTCGTGCCTTGAAAAAAATGCGATTCAGACGACGAGCACTCCATGTTCGGATTCGAGCGTGAGTACGAAGTGATGTTACTTCTGATGGGCCATCATCGGTGCACATTTGTAATGGCGCCCAGTATAATTAGGTGTCTGAAAATGAAGTGAGAAACTATGTCCTGTTCTTCTGGGGAGTGAGTGCGTAATAGTGCTCACATCTCTGGCTCCCAGAAGCCATCATCTGCGATAAAACAAGGCACGGCAATTTGAGGCAAAGGCTGTACCCTTAGAGTTTGAATGTCACCCGTTGCGTTGAATTGAACAACCCGCCATGGAGCATTGACGCCAACGGCATATTTTGTCCATATTCAAATATTCAGTTATCAGGTCACTTTGGGACATGATGCCACCATCAGACGAGTATGAATTAGCTTTGAGTTAGCTCAAATGTATCCTTGTGAGGTTGGCTTTGCCTTCAATGATGAATGAGATGATGTGGAGGACACAGGGAGGTAGAGTGGTCTAAGGAATATGGCAAAAGCGATATTTGACATACATGTCGCCATGCGTTTTCAGATGCAGGTCCGATGGGGGAGCTACAGGGAACACTAGAAGATGCGAGGGTCAAAGAGGAAGAAATTGCTGAGCGGCTTGAAAGAGCTCAAAATAAGCATACAGGAATCCGGGAACCTTCATAGACTGTGCCCCATTCAATGAGTCGAGACCAGCGCCTTGTAATGAAGAAGGTTCCATTTGGAAGGCCTAGCGCTCTAGACACTCCGCATGAGTGGTGTTCTGATGATGCCCACCTTACTAGACATTAATCTGCCACCGTAGTAATGAAATAATCATCCGTCCAGGCATACCACCAACTTGCTGCATGGGCAGAATTCTTCTGCGAGATTTTTCCTCATGTTCTGCTGAGCGCAGAATCAATCAGTCCCTGTTCTTGCTGAATTCATTGAGCAATGCATGCAAAAATGAACAGTGTAATTTGGGAGATTGATGTCTGATGTCTGAATCATAGTGAGAAACAATTGACTCACTCGTTGGAGCAATCATGGTAGGCGATCATGTGTGTGACAACGAAACTTGATGCATGATGGTAGTAATGCTGATGATCTACAGATTTGATTCTGTTGAGCATTGAACAAAAAGAATATTATGATTGGAGAAATCAAAATGGGCTAGCTAGGGTGGGCGACATTGAGACGCACCATGCATCACAGCGAGCCATATCGCATGATCCATCGAGATGTATGATGTAAATTTCACAACCAGTTCCGCATGTTGAACAAAAAGAAGCTCGATGATCACACTGGACGTCAAAAAAAAGTTGATGATAGTGGCTGTGATGATGATGGTTTGGTTCGAACTGTGGCTGTGGCTCAGCATTAATGTATTTTACTTTCATTCCTATCGCACCAGAGAGAACTCTGTATTATCTCCTATGTGTTATGAAGAACATATTCAAAGCACTTAAGCTGAATTTCAAAGTTTTTTCTCGCCGGACCATACATGATCCCAGTATTCTATTGCAATGGCCTGAAGAGCCATTTGATCTTCCTGCCGATCAAAATGGTGGATTCTATCCTGCGATACTGGGAAATAAACTTAATTCAACATATACCATTGTTCAGAAACTTGGATGGGGCCAACACTCTAGCATTTGGCTGGCGAAGCATGGAGGGTGAGTAAATGCGATACTTCCTCCTGGCTAGTTGTGACGAGGTGTTATGTGCCTGACATCAAAGAGAACACGAGTGTCAGTACGTCGCAGTCAAGATACTGACAGCCCATGCGACGCAAGTGCAACTTCAGCTTTCTGATGAGCTTGGCTTCCTACAATCTGTAAGAGATTTGGCAGGGGAGTCAAGACATCCCGGGCAAGCCCATATTGTCGCATTGCTAGACAGTTTTGAAGTATCGAGTACCCAAGGTCGTCATCTCTGCTTGGTGTACGAAGCTATGGGCATATTCCCGAAGGTTGACAGAGGTCTCCCAGTTTCATTGGTCAAGGCTGTGGTAAAACAGCTGCTTCTCGCCTTAGATTTTCTACACCATGAATGTCATGTGGTTCATACTGGTGCGCTGCTATCAAAAATGTCTGAGTCATGCTGGAACTGAGGTGTCATTGGAAAAGATCTTAAGCCCGACAACATCCTCGTCGAACTTGATAATGTGGACACTGCTATTAAAATCCGGGAAGAATCACGCTCTATAACTCCCATGCAAGTGGTCTCGTCCGAACCTCCCAGTCATGCTATCCTGTCTCATCCAATACATGTATTTAGCTCAGATGAGCTGCTCAACTTGATTCAGTTCTCAAAACTTAATGTCAAGTTGACCAACTTTGGTACTGGCGAGTCCCCAAATATTATAGTGATCCTGGTCGTAACTTATCACCACATTTTAGCCGTCTCTATAAATGGATTCCATCCTGATATCATTCAACCTTTTGCTCTACGCGCACTGGAGGTCATCCTAGGATGTGAGTGGGGTCCAAGCGCAGATATCTGGAATTTGGCATGCTTGGCAAGATCATTTTATAGGTTTGTTTCTTCATTTAACACCGAACCGTGTCTGTAGATCTTTGAATTTCTCACTGGTCATTGGCTTTTTGCACTGCGAGGAGGGCCTACATGGACCGCAGAAGCATACCGTCTTGCGCACATGCCTGTAATGGCTGGAGAAGCATTTGACACCACTTATTTTCAGACCAGAAAGACCTTTGGGGAGTATTTCAATAATGATGGTGAGTCGAAACAGCGACTCATGGTGTTGACTGATGTTCATGTTCATTGTAGGCAAGCTTCACATACAAGTTGAAGAGATCCGAGGTTTGGAAAAGGCTCTTGAATCCTACAAAGTGGTTGGCAATGACGAACTATCTATGTGCACTTCGTTTTTGCAGTTGATGCTGAGATTACAGCCGTCGGATAGAGCAGGTGCAGCAGATCTCTTGGAACATGAGTGGTTGAAAGTCTAATACGGATGAGAGACCCAGTCGCTTTTTTATCATAATGAAGGACCCACACTGTCAAATTATACATAGGTAATTACAACTCGTCTATGGACATTTCAATCTGAGTTGACGCAAAGCAGTGTAGAAAGAGTTGAAGTATGTTGTACGGTAATATTGTACTAACAATTATGATGAGACTGCCCATTCACAGGTCAATGAGCTCAACCCTTCGTCTTATCTTGGGTATGAGCTGAAGCATGCAGCGCTTCATGGAGCCCAGCACTATGATGACGCATTCCAAACCTCCAAAATCATGCTCTCTAAGCTGGATAATGATCATGTCGCACGAATGCAAAGTAAGCCCCAAATAACTCACGTGCCAACTTGAAGATGATTAACTCTTTCTCCAGAGCTGCATCAGCACTATCCTAGTCAATCTGCAATACTAGAAGACACTGTTCGACCAGCCATCCATGCTCATCTGGAAAACGCCCCACTTCGTCTAATCAACACATCCACTGGCTGTGTATGCAATTGAGACACACAGAAAAACTCCTTCATGGAAAGTACAGAGTACAGGGAGCTTTTCCATTCATTGACAATGCATATGCCCCCCAGGACGGAGCTATCTACTAGACCTTCACACGGAATTCACATCCGCACACCTAACCTGGCTTTAGACTGTAGATAGGTCTATTGGCAATGTGGTGTGAAGCAAAACATCACCTTGCAAACCAAGGTCGAGACAGTGAAGTTTGAGTTGGAATATGTTGTATACACATGGTAGTAAGTTTAAGAACACTTCCAACATCAGTGAATTGATGAGTCCATGATATGGCAGCCGTGGGAACTATAGGACAATACATCATTAATAACCACGAGATAACAGCTACAAGACGCCAAGCTACCATCTCCTGGTTCTTTCTCATACAAACAATCAAAAATCAAGCATATTGAGCCTTCTTCCCTTGATTTTTTGGCGGAAGTGATGTTTCATCTCCCAGTCTGGGCCTCTTCTGCTTCAGGAGATTGGAGAGCAGACAAAGTTCTATGCCACCAGCACGCCATTGCGCATCATTAAGATATGCTGCCGCTTTTGTGTGCATATCCTTCAGAAGAGCATTGTCAAGTGCTAGCAAGGGAAATTTTGCCTCCATCTTTTCATAGCCATCTTGGAGAGTGTCTGCGAAATCAGGAATAATAGGGCTGCAAACATTAAAGCACATCTTTGAAAGAAGATTTTCAAGCTTCTTTTGGAGTCATCCAGTGTAGAGGAAGAAGTCCCGGCGTGATGTCTGGCCGAAGAAACCAGGGAAGGCCACTTGGTATTCTTTCAACTGAGCATGTGCATCAAAGGAATGGTCAGTGTTCACCATCTTCGTGTCCGTGTGATAAAATAAAATCCAGGTAAATGCCCACCATATGGATTCAATGTTGTGCAGGAAATTCATGCAAATTGAAAGTTGGTCCAGATGGCGTGCATGACGTGGGAAGAAAAGGTAATTCTGGCTTTCTACTTCCACTGCCATGAAATGCATTGTTCCCTGTCGATGAGTTAACAGTGAAAGAGATCATTTTCAAAAATCTTATCATTCGAACATCATTAGAAGTGTTTGAATCTATCTCTTTTGTGTACTCGAAGTCACCCCACTTCCCCACACCCCCAACCCAAATTGTGTTCCTGACACTGAAATTGCGATGGACCCAGCCTGCTTTGTGCATATAATGCAAGGCCAAGTTGAATGAGCGACTGAGGAAAGGAGAGTGACAGTAATTTGCTCACCCAAAAGTGCACCAGACAAGCAACTCAGATTGTCAGCCAAAGAGGTGACATCCTTGAGAGCTACTCCAACATTAAGGAAGATAGTGGAAGTATGGACTCTGCATGGGATTCCAGTGTCTTTTTGTGAAATAATGCCCAATTGTGTGGGAAGAAAGGTAGACAGCTGACCAGAGTCAGGTATGTCGCCTGTGCTAGGTAAATGTGGTGTCGCGGAGACGATGGGATTGAAGTTGATGGACACCCACTGCCAGGTATGATTATGCTCTTCTGCGAACATTGGGTTCAGCATCCGTCTGGGGTATCGTTGATTATCACATCCTTCCAGAGCTGGACTCCAATGAAGTGCCTCTTGGCATCCGCCAAACCCTCCACTTGCAGCTTCTCCACACAGGAAGCCAAGATGTTTTCTAGGATCTCGCCCTCTGGTTGACATCCAGCTTCTCTCCATGAATCTTTGACAGCAACTTTCTTTCCCTCAGCGTCTGTAGCTTCATACATGCGAGTTCCATGCCCAACCATAGAGTCTGTGCCATAGGTTGCAAGTTCACGTGTCGTGGTGAACACTTCATCCCCGATAGTGAACTTGTATTGGAAACCCTCCCCATCTTGGATCTGCTTGACAGTGGGGTCCCATCCGAGCTCTTTTATAGTAGAAGATCCAGATCCAGATCCAAGAGCGTAAAAGAGCAAGATAACACCATCAATGTTCTAGATGTACCATGCCTGTTAGCACCCTGACACACAGTGTGATATGTTTACGTACCTCAAAGAAGTTGATAGGTTCCGTAACCACAAGGAATGCACAATTGCTGAGCCACAGTCTCAATTGCGTGTCCTCCATTGTGATACCAAATGCAAAACGATAAAGAAGATCCTTGTGCATGATACTGTGAAGGCTCCAGATTATCTTCTGTTTGTCCTAGAGCAGGCTTTGTGAGTGGATGCCAACAAGATCTGTAACAACTTACATCTCAGAGAGACTCTCTATCCTGTGCCTTCTTGAACTTGAATGGCACAGCAATATCGAACCAATGTATCTTGGGCTGGGTTTTTTTGTTGCCAAGTACAAGGTATCCATCAGGCCTAAAAGTATTGTTGTGCTGCAAGAGGGGTGCTACATTTTGGTTCACTATAAAGGACACTCCACAATTTGGGACTTCGGGCAAAATTTCAGTGATGATGTGGCCGAGGGGCTCAACCACATTCTCTTTGGACCCTTTTGATGTGGCAGGTGGGGTAAAGTCTATCCATCGCAAGCCACTCTTGTTGTCAGTGAGAATCTTGCTCTCTGTCAAGTTATTGCATATCCACTGCAGATCCTGATGAGAGGGCATGGCACCAACACATTTCACTAGGCAATTGAATGGAACCCACAGATACCTTCCCAAATCAGTGAGAACAGTGGTGCAGCCTAGTTTCAGATCCCCCGTGTGATAATCAGCTCCAAGTCAAGACACATGCACAATGTTTGTTCACAATGACACCATCAAGCACATCATGACAGGTGGATATTGGTATGATGCTGATGCAGAACAGTAGGTTCAGGGAGGCCCAGGGGTTGTCACTTTTCTTGAAGACCATCCTGAACATGCTCAACTGCTCAGGATTCCCAATAAAAATCTCGCTGATCCAAGTACAGTAAATCAAGTGATCTTGTCCTTCCAGAAACTGACCATTCTATGGAAAGCATGTGTATGATTTTGACGACTGAGAGGTCTAAGCAGGATATCATTCCATGGGAAACAACTTGTTGCGCAGAAATACTCAAGAGGAACAGTTTCCAAAGTCCTTCTCATACTTGTTACTACTGGGGGACTTCAGTTGTGACTAGTGAGCGTGAACATTCACAGGTGGATGGGCATATTATCTTTCAAGACACAGTTAAGGAGAAGGTGCACTTTCGCTTGTGTTATTGCTAGTAAAATACCAACTAACTATTTATTACCAGACTCATATTGGACACATCCGCGAAATCTTGATCTCAACAACAACCCAGTGCACAGTGGCATTTGTTGCTCTCCAGGTCTTTTCCATTATGCCTGCATGCCATGCTTTGCTTTACCTGCCATGCCTTGTGCTTAGTGATGAGGAACTAGTTGTGTCAGGAATGGTGAGCCTTACTACCTCCCGTGTGTTTCCTTTACAATTCAACTTGCATTTCAGGATATTCTATGTGCAGTTAACCTTCAGCACAATTGTCTTGATGCAAAATGTACAGACATGTCTACTAAGCATGTATGGCAGGAACAGATACAGACTGACTGAATGACAAGTATCATCAAACACCAGCCATCACCACACTATCTCCTCAACACATTCTCTATCCATAACTACCAACATATCCATTCTCTTCTCACAGAATTGCTTTGTGAGACACCACTACAAGTCACAGATCCTGGAGCTGTCTGAAAAGCTACTGTGAAACAGATGCAGGGAAAGAGGCTGGCAAAAAAATCTGGAGGAGAGGCAGCAATCCTACCCAACGACAAAGATGTTGTGCAGCCTGCATTTGATCATGGATTCAAGAAACAGACCAAAGCCAAGACAACAGGGAAGAAGAAGCAGCAACAGCAACAGCAAACTGTTCAGCCTGCAACACATACTAGGGGAGCCAAAACAGGAACTCCATAGTATCACCCACTCATCTTCTCACCACCTGTCCAAAATGACAGCACATCCCAGACACACTTCCAACCCACATCAAGCACCAAGAGTGTTCTGCATCTCCCTCTCCAACCGCATCCTCATTCTTATCCATCTGCCCAATGCCTTGCCCCCCTCACTATTCCACCACAACTTGCTGGCACTTCGAGTTCATTCCCAACACACCAATCACATTTATTGCCACCAACATTTGCGCCACCCCAACAGATATCTCCTTCAAGTTGGCCATCTCAGGTGCCTTCCTTTTCTACATATTCTAGTCATAATCATTTTAGTTCTATAATCCACTCCATCCCACCTGTTCAAGTACCTACTGCTCATAAATCATTGTATCCCTTAGTCCCAGAAGCTGATTTTCACCAGTTAGGTTCTTATCATCCCCCTTATCATTATTTCCCCCCCTAGTTATTTGCAACCTTGTGACATGGCCCTTGTTGTTCCAGAATAACACTTATTTTTTTTCAACAAAAACATGCCTAATAAGTACAAAGAATCATGCATTTCTCACCAAGGAGAAGCCACTCTTCATACACTAGCGAGCACAACTCATCAATCTTCTCTTGATGGGGATGCTGAATCAACATCATAGCTTCATACTAAACAATGCCTTCTTTACTGTCAACCATCACTGCCTTTTCAGCAAGAAATATTTCTTCACCACTCAAACCTGAACAATACTCACACCTTTTTTTCAACCCACTCATCAATCCTATCTTACAACCCACTCATCACCCCTATCTTACAACCCACTCATCAATCCCTCCTTGTGCGTGGCGAAGATTCAAATGAGGTCAAGCATCTCAATAAAGTCACCATTCGTCAACAAAACTGTACATAGTATCATCAAATCTGTGCAGAGTGTAAGGTTGTGGCCATCCCGCATCTCTATAACTCCCTGCCATACTCTGTTTGGCACCTCCTCCATATCATGAACATCTATATTCACATGGAATCCTGACCTACCCACCTTCTATTTTGGTGACCGGTCATCATCAACTTGCCCCATCTCCTTGCCACACCACTTGTCTCTCACCAACAATGCTGATGACTTGTATTTTGAGTTCTGTGATCTTGAATTGTGGCATTGAGCCTCAAACTTGCGTGGGAAGTGTTGTTGATACCTTAAAAAACAAAGCTCAACTTTTTGCATTCAGTTCAGTTGACCCTAAAGCTTAAAGGACCATCCAAGATGATATTGAGCCATTTTCCACTTCACTCAACATCTGGGGGCTCTCAGATGGCAAGCAGCACTGGTCCCAGACCACAAGGACTGGCCTTGGTCCCACCCCAGGCTGGCAGATCTCATGGTCGCTCACTGCTCAGTTCTGACGCAGGACTCTCAACTTGCTCTGGTCCTACTGCAGGTCACAGACCTGTCAGCTCAAACTCTCAATCCCAAGTGGCACATAGCCAGAGTCGTCAACTGAGTTCCATGTCAGATTCCCAGGTTCTCCTGACTGTTACCTCACCATGCCCAGTTTCTCCTGCTGGATCATCTGACCTTGACCAACCCATCAGCATGGATGTTAATGCAGGAGTTCAGCATTGACAGGATTCCAGTGTTGATGCAATGCAACTCACCCCAAGGCACACCAAGCAGCTCAAAACATATGCTCAACAGCTTGCCACTGATCACAGAGTACCTTTGAAGAAACTACTAGCATTCATTGAGGTATAGTACTCTATTGGTCCTCTTTTCCTCCATTGATTCAGTGTCATACAGAACAGTAATTTGTTCTATATGCTTCTTGAGTTGAGGGCCGGCCAGCTCAAAAAAGAAGAAGAGAACGAAGCAAATGTCCTTCAGGAGCTAGAGAAATTACTCACCTCAAAGAATTTTGAGGTGTGACTGATGGTTATTTCTTTGTTTGGGTCTGTAGTTGATTGCATGTGAAAGAGTACACTGAAGGGCCACCTGACTGCCTGCATGCTATCCCCCAACCTAACCGTGTATGTAACCGACACACAGCAACATATCATGGTAGGTTAAGATCCTTTAATTTTACCCCAAATTTTCACCATTTGAATCACAGGACTTTATAAAAGGGCACAGTGAACTTTTCAAGATTTCTGAGGGCCTCTTCGATGACACTGAGTTGCGTGCACTACTGGGCAAATTGGTCACACGACTTTTAGCAACCATCCATGGCTCAATCAAGACCACAGTAAGTATATTTTGAACCAACAGAAACACTCACCAAGGTCTCTCTATCCACAGCTAATTACATCAGTCAGCAAAAAATTGAGTATCATGGATGCACTCAAACTGATTTACATAGCAGTATGGAGGTTGATTCCTTGCACTGGACAAGATTCGCATTTTTGGTATGCTTCTTTGAACGTCTAATATAAATTTATCTAATTTAAGTCAGCGGTGATGTCTTCGCATATTCTTGATTGGTATCAGTGACCACAAAAAAGTCGCCCTCAAGGATCACTTCTCCCCCTACCTCATCCCCTCACTTCATCCAGATCTCCAACACCACATCACGAGCCAGCTCCATGTCAACATCCCACAGCTGACAGAGGAGTTCCAATGGAGCCACCCAGACCTGGCCTTTTGGTATCAAGATGAATCCCCTGGTACACACCAAAGTCTTATTGATCCCACCCGTTGTGGGTACAACAAGTGCAGCAGCGAGAAATCAATCTACTACAAAGTTGGGTCTTTGCTGCCTGCTGCCTCACTTGAGAACAAGCATGTTCGACCCTAAAGGGGATTGCTACTGGGGAGTACTAGTCTCTGTCTAAATGACCCTAATCAACCCTACCACAGGTAGGATGAGGATCCGCAAAAATGCAGAACAAGCAGAACAAGCAGAACAAGCAGAACTCAAGTGGAACAAGCAGAACTCAAGCGGAATGGAACGGAATAAAGCGGGACTCAACTGGATACAATGCGGAATGTACAGATTCATCGGAACTCACAGGTCAAGTCGAGGGAAGTATATCACAAGGTTAGATTGATAGTGGGCATAAGTCAAAGCAGTCCTCTAGTAAGGTGAAGGAAAAGTGGGAAGGTAAAAGATGGGATTGCATAAAAAACACCCAAGCCCTGAGTATCACTACTTAAAGGGAAGATTATTTTCAAGGAACACTGAGGTACAGGTAGTAAACTTTTCAGGAAGCGGAAGTGAAGGTAGGCAGTGCACATGGGCGCAATACTCCAGAATAGGGGTCCGTGCCATAAGGGCATGTGTCAGTGTGATCCGGATAATG